GTCATTATGACGTCATCAAAAATGCGATTTTTTAAAAAACATATAAGGAAATGTTCAATCGTCATGAAACTTGGTCAGTGGGTAGATAATAGTACTAGTACACAAAATCTGAAATGACATCACGATGACGTCATCGGTAGATTTTTAACGATTTTTAAAAATATTTACAATTGTATTCTGATTACAAAAGTTAACACTTTATTTTCATCCGATTGGCTTCAAACATGCTTAATTCAAAATTCAGTTTGTATTAGGTTTATTATGTAATAGGTATCTGCACAATTTTTTTGAAAAATATGTGACGTCACGATGACGTCATCAAAAATGCGATTTTTAAAAACACTGATAAGGGTAAGTCTGATTGTCTTGAAACTTGGTGGGTAGGTAGATAGTGTTAATAGTATGCAAAATCTGAAGTGACATCATGATGACGTCATCACCTTTTTTTAAATTAATTTATCAACTTTTGTACATTTTCTTCTAATACAAAAAGTTTTTTTTTTTTCAAGTATTTTTTTACACATTTTATTTTAAAAATGCGGAAAAGCCTGTGTCCTGTTCATCGAACAGGCATAGCTCTAGTATTTTCATAACATCTTTTCACTTTAGCATAACCTGTCTAAACCATGGGCGGAAATCCCGGGGGGGACAGGGGGGACACGTCCCCCCCATGAATTTGGTAAGGGGGGACACAATGTCGAATGTCCCCTCCATGTTTTCATGTGTAGGTATGGGTGGGTGACCAACCATGGCAGAGTCTTAGGGAAAAGCCTCTTTGATATGTCGCTAAGTTGTGGCTGAGAACCAATTTGGTTTTCTTGTCGGTTCGACCACGGCTCTTGTACGCGTAGCCTACCCACGTACATGTACTGTACGTGCGTGTTGGTTCATGCGGTATACGTTACACACAATGTTGCCTGCGTACGTCATATAATTTGCTACTCCTATTTCGGCCCCACTCCGGCCCGCAATCACTATGGTAGACTTGATGACAAGTCGTTAGACTATAGTGATTTATGTCCGTCATCGATCAGCGCCAAAATCCGCATACCACCGCCGTTCATGCAACGTCAGCGCTACAACCATTCATGCAAAAGTCAATGTACTAACGCGCGGTATGGTCAGTCTGTGTCTAACGACTTGACTAAGATGTTTTCAAGCGAATATTCATATATGCAGACACTGCAATGCGTATGCATGATGTTTCCATAGCGAGGGCCAATAGTAGCCCATCTGGCTTACGAAGAAACACCATTATAAATATGGGGGGTACTTATTACACGATCATTTTCAAGTTTCCATTTTATTTGGCAGTCCTGTTTTTAAAATTACAGTAAAAAAGCGTATAACATTGTAGATAATATTAGTACTTTTGCAACTGTCTTTGAATAAAAGGAGTAATATTTAAGTAATTATGGAAGTTGAAACTGTAACGAATAATTGTAAATCCCCTTCAAAAAATGAAGTGCGCGCTGACTGTAAACGTAAGCTCCTTTTGGCCCATGTGGTTTGTTGTAGATTAACTAATCACCCTGAAAACGAACTCGTCCGCGGTTTGTGCCCATTTTTAAGGTTACAGAACCGCAATGACAAAATGCCCGATGCACACAATGAGGTTCAGAAATATATTGTTGCATTATCAAGGGGGCCATGACCCCCCCCCCCCCCCAAAAAAAACGAAACCAATTTTTTTTTTTATGTGACATCGCAATAAAGGCAGGCAATGAGTACACCCCCATCTTTTCCTAAAAAAAAAATTGGTAAAAGTGGTCAGAAATTGCCTCAGATCGCACCACAGAGCATCTAGAATCCAAAATGTTTTCGGGGCCCTTAAGCGGGCCCCGAAACCCCACGCCGTAATTTTTTGGACCCACTTTTTTGGGGGACCAAACTTTTTTTTGCCCCCCCCCAAAAAAAACACTCATTACAGACTTGATTTCAAGTCTCTCGCTATGGCTGCCATACCCCATTGCAATATTACGAGTGGAAAGTTGTCCGTTCAGCAGTGGCGTACCCACCGGGGGGGGGGGCGTGGGGGGGACCGCCCCCATGAAACCTTGTCGCCCCCCTAGTCGCCCCCCCCCCCCCAACTGAGATTTTGAGTTTCTAAAAAAAATATCATTGATCTACATGACGCCATGGGCGTCGATCCTGGGGGGACAGGGGACATGTCCCCCAACACCTTTTGAAGAGTGGGGGACACAATATCAAATGTCCCCCCCCCCCCCATTTTTGAACTCGTGTCTCATTTACAGGGCCCTATTATGTACAACGATGTATCTTTTGCTTAGAAAATATTGGTTAAAGTGGTCAGAAATTGCCTCAGATAGCACCACAGAGCATTTAGAATCCAAAATTTTTCGGGGCCCTTAAGCGGGCCCCGAACCCCACGCCTATAGCTCAGAATTCTGGTAGCTGATTCAATGACTCCAACCTCGAAAACAATGTTCAAATAATTATCTTTTGCCAAGAAAATATTAGTTAAAGCATGGAAGAAAGTCGTAAGAAATTGCTTCAAGTCACACCACAGAACATCTAGAATCCAATTTTTTTCGGGGCCCTTAAGCGGGCCCCGAACCCCACGCCGTAAGGGCTTCGCGCTTCGCGCTTGCATCAGTTATGATCAAGGTATGTCCCCCCCCCCCACTTTTGAGAAGCGATTGACGCCCCTGCTTGACCCCCCCATGAAATGTTCCAGCCCCCCCCCCCACCCCAGCGCCCCCCCCCCCCCCCCCCCCCCCCCCCCCCCCCCCCACTGAAAAAATCCTGGCTACGCCACTGCCGTTCAGCCTGTGACGTTTTGTGAGTAATATAATTTCGGGGAGAAAAAAAAAACCTGTCCCCCCCACGTTCAAGGAGCGATTTCCGCCCTTGGTCTAAACTACATCAACACATTTTTGCAGTATGCATACATTTAACTGGTGGCATCATCAAACCAGAAGTACTGTGTAAATGCCTGAAGGATGCATGTGTTCAAATTCATAAATTCTTAATATGAAACAATTTGAATTTCATATGTTCCTGTTTTTGCTTTAAACAAATTTACAAATGTCAAATAAAATAGTACAGTGCCCCGTCACCCTGCATTTGTTACAAAGACAAATCATGCAAACCTCTGGTTGTGATTAATTTTAACTGCTTTGTGCCGAAATGGTAGCATCGATCTGGATACTCCGTATGGAACTGAGATTGTCTTATTAGGAATGTTTCATTGGCCCCATGATAAGGGGTACAATAGGGGTGAGTCAAAAAAGCGGAACCCAAAACCCCAAAAATATGTTTCATATTTTTTTTTTTAAATGTAGCACCTAAAAAATAATGACTGGTAAGCCAAAAAAAGAACAATTTATTGTGTATTCTGACAGTTTGGAACAACAAAGAAAATGACACAGAATACTTGTTTCTCACTCTCCTAATTATCTTCACATTAGGCATGCGCAATACTACCAATGAGACCGTATTTCATAGTCCTAAATTCTGATTCTGGTAGGATACTACTCAACAACCCTAAAAGGAGCAAAACCAGTAGAGAAATTCACACTACACCAGCATCATCATGCACAACATCAAGCAGGATGTGCCATGCGCACGAAAATCTCCATATAAGGAGATATTTAGTACTACTCATGACAGGCACATACCATAAACATAGCTAGAGGGGTGCTTCACAAAAAAATGAAGCAAATTGTTGTACAAAATCGTTGGAAATTTCCTTGTTTTTACTAGTTTTGACTTTTTGACCATAAGGTATTGATGAATGGGAATAAATATGTGTATTGTTTTGGTTTGCGGCAACACCATGTGGTAATGACTACTGGGGCGTCAATCGCTTCTCAAAAGTGGGGGGCGGGGGACATACCTTGATCAGAACTGATGCGAGCGCGAAACGCGAAGCCCTTCCAGCGTGGGGGTTCGGGGCCCACTTAAGGGCCCCGAAAAAAAAATGGATTCTAGATGTTCTGTGGTGTGAAATTGGTTGGAGTCATTGAATCAGCTACCAGAATTCTGAGCTATAGGTGTGGGGTTCGGGGCCCGCCGCGGCTTAAGGGCCCCGAAAAATGTTGGATTCTAAATGCTCTGTGGTGCTATCTGAGGCAATTTCTGACCACTTTAACCAATATTTATTAAGCAAAAGATACATTGTAGTACATAATAGGGCCCTGTAAATGAGACACGAGTTCAAAAATCTGGGGGGGGGACATTTGATATTGTGTCCCCCACCCTTCAAAAAGTCCCCCTGTCCCCCCAGGATTGATGCCCATGGCGTCATGTAGATCAATGATAATTTTTTTAGAAACTCAAAATCTCAGTGGTGGGGGGGGGGGCGACAAGGTTTCATGGGGGGCGGGGCTGTCGCCCCCCCCCCCCCCGTGGCTACGCCACTGATTGCAAGGAATTTTAATTGGCTTATTATTATTAAGTTTATATGAATGGAGGAAAAAGTTTGTGCGTGGCCGATTCGCGTGATATCGCTGACTGAAACTGTGTGACCCACGGACCACCTGTCTATAATACGTGTTCCGTGGTGTGAGCGAGCAGTGCAGTGGGTGTTAATACGCATATTAGATTATCATTATGCGCTATGTCACGCCGGTTGTCAGCTTACTGGTCCGCGGTCGCCAGTCGAAGGGTCGTTTCTCAGTGGTCATCATGTGGATCATTCGCGACTATTTAGATTTAGATCAATGATAATTTTTTTAGAAACTCTAAATCTCAGTGGGGGGGGGGGGGGCGACTGGGGGGGCGACAAGGTTTCATGGGGGGGCATCGCCCCCCCCCCCCCCCCCCGCCCCCCCGGTGGCTACGCCACTGCCGGTACATATCATAAAGAGAAGGCGAGACTGTACAAAAATGGAGTCCTATAACCTTTGATCAAGGCTGTTCAAGAGGGGAATGGATACATTGTAGTTATATAAAGGAACCTTCAGATCAGCAGTGTGCCATTGCCCACCTCCTCTGTCTATGGACAAGTTTGCAATTTGGTATGATTTCTGTCTTACCTTTGGCCCAATCGGTCCCCGAGGCCCTGCTGGTCCCCTTTCCCCTGGAATTCCGGGCTCTCCTTTCAACCACTATCATCAGGAGAAAAAAATACAGGCCAAAACTGTTGTGTGCTGTTTCCATTGATTGCTTAATGTGCGAATATACATCACAGGAGGTTTCTGCACAGTATAGGAAGATGATGAAGGGCATGTCTCCCATTATCTGCTACCCCATTTTATCACTACTGGACTGGGGAATAAAGGGGCTCCACTTCTCATGGGTTTGATCCAGGGTGTTCTTAAGGGGAATGGATACCATTCATGTTATTTAAAAAGTAACCTTCAGCCGTGTGACATTTCCCACCTCCTCTGTTTACGAACAAGTTTGCACAATTAATCTTTATGCTTTTGTGGTTGCACTTGCATTTGCCAAGGCATGGAGCATTTTTACAAATTCTTTAAAAGAATTATATGCTCATGACAAACACGTTAAAATGTTGTTGTCTTGTAAAATCTGTTTTACTTTTTGTCTTGCACAAAATGACCAACCCCTTTATATTTCTCTCTACACAAGTACATATTTCAGACCCGAGTCATGTATTGTAGTTGTGTGTCTTTGGAGTTTGGTCTGATGTGTGTACAGTCTGCTTGTATGCACTGACTCTTTGCTTGATTATCTGATGTCTCTGTTAAAGGTCATTGGCTTTACTCAACAAGGGATGCACTGGGAAAATGGAGGGGCTATTCAGTACAGTTTTGGATTGTTTGTAAGGGGGGGGGGCCCTGTCCGAGTTTAATTGCTTGATAGAAATGCTGTACTGGGTAAGCAGGTCCTTCTTCCCACCTATAAAATAACTAAATGAAGCTCAGAAAAAAATTAATCAAAAATTGCTCTTATGGTATTTTAAATAGTAAGGCAAAAAAAGGTAATAATGTGTTTCCGGTAACCCAACTGACCCTCAGTATTTTGGATGAACAAATGGTCAGCCTTTTTTTATTTGTATGGCTGATATTGTGCCATTTCTTTTTTACTCAATTCGTATACCCCCAAATAAGTCTAGAATTCTTGCAAGTATGCAATAACGTACGTACTTTAATACAGGGGTATGCCTAATTTTGGACATACATGTAGACAAACTTGCTCATCAGCGGTGTAGCCAGGGTTCTCATCCTAGGGGGGGGGGGCCGGGGGTGCTTGAGGTTACAATGGAGGGGCGCCCAAAAATTTCATGTGTGCTGGCTGAAAGGTCGCCAGATTTTTGTCATCAGACACGCGAACTCCGTAAAATCGAATGGGGGAGGGGGTTGGACACCATCTTTCCATGGGGGCGCTGTTCAAAACCTATATCATGGTTAATGTTAGACAATAACTACTGCTATTGCTTTACACGGACATTAAAATAAACAGCCACTTGTGAAAAAAAAGGGTTTTAGGTGGAAAATAGCACAAAATCGCGGAAAAAGGGACTTTATGTTCTTTCAGCTAATCATGGTAGCTCATATGGCTGTGCTTTTCTCAGGATGCCGAATGTCCAGTGGGCCCCCCCCCCCCCCCCCCCCCCCGCTTAGCTACCAGGTAAATGTGTGATATATTTAATACACACACGCACACACATAATTGATTCCCTATTTACCCAATATTCCCTTTTTTATGTTTCAACCAAGGGACCCAGTGTTATTTAGGGATGAGCTTTAATTTCAATATTTGTTAACTTACTCTGCGCCCTGGTTCCCCTGGATTCCCTTTTGAAGCAGGTGGATCTGTTGGGCCAACTGTACCAGGTGCACCCTGTTTGGAAATAAACAACACTTATTATATGTTTTTGTACACCGTGCATGACAGAGAGAAAGATGTTTGTGAAAGAGGAAATCATGCTAATCAAGTAATGTCCTCGTAACTGGTGTAGAATTGTTGTAAATATCAAAACTGAATTCATTCAGTTATCATGCAAACATGAATTTAAAAACAACTATTTTTAATCAAAGAAAGTTTTTAAAATATTGGAAATATTCATTGCAGTCTTTTAAAAAGCCAGAGACGGCATTTGAAAAAAAAACACAAATGAAAAACTAAAAACTGAAACAAAATCTCTGAATGTTGGAAATGTTCATCCATTTCCCTTTGCTAATGGAAAGAAAGGAGTTTTATGAGTATATTGTATATCAGCATTCATACATGATAATTTGATCCAGCAAGAGGTTGAAGGTCATGTTGTAGCTGTCGCCCATGCCCATGAATAAATTCTGAAGGGTACTTCAACAGCTAATTGAATTATCCCTTACACATAGCCAGTGATTTTTCATCAGGGATTTACTTTTATGCATTGCTTATTACAAATGATTGCCATAAGATATAGCATGAAACGTGACCATGCCTGCTTTTCAGTAATGGTGACTGGCTAATGTTATTTATTTATTTTTACCATAAATATACTAGGTGATTTCATAACCAACATAATGAGATGGACATGTTGTAGAATGTCAAGAAAAGGACTATTGATCACCATTAAATATGTTGATAACAAAACGAAGAAATCCTTTGATGGAAAATTGTGAAGAACTTGAACTGCATTACAAAATTGTCCTTTTTCGAAGAGAATACCTTACTGTGGTTGCTTATCTAAAACAAATATTGCCACTGACAAAATTTGTGTGAGTATCTTTAATGAAAGGGAGTCATGTGCATGCATTCCGCCAATATATCTCCATGTATTTGACAAACTGAACAATTTGCAATAGCCTAAATTTGTGTGCACAACTGGGGTATGATAAAGGGGGAAAAATCCTGGCAAGTGTTAAGAGAATTCGAAAAACGTAGGAGATGTTTTCATTCAAAAAGTTGAAATGCAGCGCACACAGAAACGTTTCATTAATGTTTCATCAGAGCACACTGATAAAAACGTCCATGCTATTTTTTATGTTCATCCCGAAATATAGGGGTTTTTTTTAGCAATACAAATGACATTTTATTTTGAATGAGATACGTTAAGGCATAGCCTTCTGAGGTTTTCAACATCTCGCAACTGCAATGTGAGCTAAAAAAAAAATCAGCATGGGAAAAAAATAGAGCAAATTTCAAAACGAAAATCAAAATAAAATAGATACAGGCCAAAAAATACATTCACAGACATAAAAGTATGCATACTAAAACGTGGAGATGAAAGTCCCCTTATCACAACTTTTGCCCCACGAGATCGTGCTGGGAAAGCATGTCAGTACACTACACATAACGGATCTTGTTATAGTTCTACGTCTATATTTTTTAACAATTTTAACAGAGTTTGATTGCCTTTTTAATGTTATTATTCGACATAGTTCAAAGACTCCGCTTTATATTGTAATCTGGTAAACAAAATTGGAAGCAATTTTTTCAGGTGGTGCCACGGTCACACGCATGCCGCATGCATTCTTAAAAATGCGGCGCGCACGCATTTTGGTAAAACAATTGGACGTAGGAGCCCGGAGTGCATGCATACTACCTGAGCATGACTCACGCCACCCTGGCGCCACCACGTACAGTGCCACCTCAGAAAATGGCTGTCGCCGAATTAGTCTTTAGCAGTTTTTATGCCCCGAAAAATAGAATGAAAAGGAATTCATGCTTTTGTGACAAGATTAAAGTAAAAGCACCTGCATGCCTGGGGTCCCAAGGGCCCCACGATCAACTTTGACCCCTTGCTCGCCTGGCTTGACTTTGGAACACCACATTTTCCGTGCATCATTGGGTTTAGGTCTCGGAGTGGCTTTGGGTGAGGGCTCAGGGGATGGGGTAGTCTTCTTGCCATGAGCAAAATAAAAAATATGTATTGAAAAAACATATTTTAACAAAATTCATGCAGTGTGAAAACAAGGATATTGCAATGCATTGCCACTACAAAGCAAAGGAAAATCAGAATTTTGCATATCGAAAGCAAACTGAAAGCTTGTGTATTTCTACAAGACATCAGATAGCAGTTTTGTAAACTTTTCAATGAATATATACTACTTAGCCACATATCAAATCAAATAGAAATAATGTCCAAAACAAATACAATAAATCATTATAGGTCATTTTGTAATCGGCAGTGAAGTGGCCAAAACTAACGTTTCAAGTGGGGGTGTTAAATTAGCAGAATTTTCTCGTAGATCAGATCAGATACAACAGCCAACTAGCAGCATGGATACTGATATTGGACTCTGTCATATTGATATAGAAATAATAGTTACCTTTCAGAGTCTGATTTTGTAGCTTACGAGGTCATCACGACCTCTTTTTTCAGAGTTGTGCCCCAAAGGTGGTCACGTGAGCGGAGGGATTTAGCCACAACGCTGAATGAAGAGGTCCTGATGACCTCGCAAGCTACGTCATGCTTAACAAAATCAGACTCTGAGAGGTTACTATCATTTCTATAACAGCCAACTAGTTACCGGTACCATGAACAAGGTGGTCTGGGACAGCCATTAACAATGATGTTATTTTACCTTTTTAAAAATTGTGGAGTCTTCTTGTACAGATGGTTGCAAAGCCGCTTATGAGCATTGTGACAGGGTTAATTATTACAGTGACCTCAATTTAACTTAATTTTTTTTCCTGGTGCTCTTGAAACTTATCTTAGTCACTGATTGGCACGAAGCGTCATTTATTAAAAAACATACAAGTACAAAAATGTTCAGGATCTGGAAATAAAAGAAATTGTTTATAAATCTTGAACTCACCTTTGTTTTGTTGATGTCAGGAACTGGCGGAGGGGGTGTGGGAGGAGGTGTAGGGGGTGCTCTCGTCATTCTTGTCACTATGGGGGGTATAATCGTTGCTTCCACAGGAATAGTTTCTGTCGTTGTCATGACAATGGGGCGAGTCTCAGTATTGTTGCCCAGTTCAGCAGCCAGTGCAGATGGTGGTGGAGGTGGGATCATTGGAGGTGGAGGGAGTCGGAGGGTGACGACTTGATTGATGCCATCAGATGTGATATCAAGACCCATTCTCACTGCTACATTGTTCAATAATTTGGTAGTGCCTTGCTCTTTGTTTAAAAGTGGGACTGGGAAAAAAACAAGATAACAGACAATTTCTTACTTGGGTGGTGGCCTTTTTTAAATACTGATTAGGGCAAAACCACAATTAAAGAAAATGGTACACATTCCCATAGACTTGTGCACACAAAACAATTCATAATTTTAATTAACCCTAACCCTAACTTAAGCTAATCCTACCCTCACCAAACTTTGTAAATTTCGGTTTTGCATCACAAGGAATCGCTAGCCTATATGCGATAGTATAATTTTGACTAGAAATAGGAGTTGAAAAATGAGGTAAACATTCAAATGTCTCTATGATCCATTGCAAGGGTGGATCTGGGGAGGGGGGGCAACGTGGGCCATGCCGCCCCCCCCCCCCCAAAAAAAAAAAAACAACAAGTGTTGTTGTTTTTAAAGTGTCTTGCAATAAAGGAAGGCACTGCATACGCCACCATCTTTTCCTTAAAAAAAATGGTTCAAGGGGTCCGAGATTCTCAGATTGCACCACAGAGCATCTAGAATCCAAACAAATTTGAGCCCTTGAGCAGGCCTCGAACCCCACACCCTAAGGTTTTTTACCCACTTTTTGGGGGATCAAATTTGCCTTGGACAAAGATTGGACTAAATGTTGTTCTGGTTCCATTCTTGCCATGATCTAACCTCAGGTACAACTTTTGATGATAACACTGTCCTCCCAAAGAGTACATTTAGAGGAATTGTGAAAATTGTTAGACTGTACCATATAATCAACATGTTTCTTAAGAAAACCCCAAAACAGAGGACAGCAAGAGAAAACTGAAAGTGATATCTTTATTAACCCTAACTCCCTCGGGTGTGTGAAAAATCACATGGAATTTTAGGTTTTAGGACTGTTTTGTTAATGATTTTAATAAATATACTTACATTTGCACTTTGGGCAACATTTACTGGGCTTTCTGATTTGTTGGTCACACTTTAATTCTGGACAGATCTTGGTCCGACATTCTAGTTCTCCTTTCTACGTAAGAGTGGAGATTGGTGAAATAATAGCAGTCATAAAAACCACAATCAAATCTTGGGGCCACAGTGCCCCCTTTTGTTGAAAGGATTGAAAAAGAAAAGATCCTCAATATCTCACAATGAGCAATGAAAACAGTCTAAGATTTAATGCTATTTTGAATATGCCTGTTGATTAGACAATTCTTTTTAACAGATTTGTCACACTTTTTCCTTCTACTTTATGGGTTTAGGTGTTATCTAGCAAAATTATTCAATACAGGGTGAGTCAAAAAACAAAGCCCAAATGGCAATAAGTGAAGTTTTGTCTGTAGCACTTTCAAAATCTAGGATAAAAACCCCAGTCATTACGCTTTCTTTTAGTACAAATATCATTAAAAATCACTCATGTACTTTTCGAGCTACAGGATTTTGAACACAAACACCGTTTTAAAGTGCTGTCCACGGATCACAAAAAAATCAAGTGTTCTTTCAGCAAAATGAAAACAATTCTCATAGGGATGCATGTTTTTGTTTTGCTGAAAGAAAACTTACCTTTTTTGTGATCCATGGACAGAACTTTAAAAACGGTGTCCGTGTTCAACAGTTTGTACCTTGAGAAGTACATGAGTGATTTGAATGATTTTTGTACTAAAAGAAAGCTCCTTAATTGGGCTTTCATATCCTACATTTTGAAAGTGCCACAGGCAAACCCTCCTTCAAAAATTGGTCCTGCCATTTAGGTTTGGTTTTTTTTATCACCCTGTATATGCTGCCAGTTTGACATAAAAAGAAATTTCAGACTATGAAACTGATTTTGCTTGTGTAACAGAATCTGCAAAATCTCTTTTAAATAATTCCCCTTTTTCACTGGGAATTAAAACAATCCAAAGTACACCAGAGCTTGATTAATCTCACCATGCAGCGGCATCGTATGCATGGATCTGCCTTCAGGGCAATTTTCTTCAACCCAGCTGGTATAATCTGGCCCTGGTATTCACAGTAATCTAACGGAATAGAAGCAACATTATCCAATTAAGTGTTATTGGATTAGCCTTTGGGATAATCTGTAGTACAGAAAGAAACATTGAATTTTGTTCATTTCTTGAAGGACAATGCTTGGGGCAGGCGACATATAGTGTGATATAAAAAGCACCATTTTTGTTTTTGGGTTGTTTGTTGGGGTGTTTGTTCGTTAGTTTGGGTTTTTTTTATGAGGTGAGCAAAAAGGATCATCATAGGTTGAACAGTTTAAAAGGGGTATGATGGAAATACATCTACTGCCGACTAGTAAAGTCATTGACCGTAATACACATGCATACACATATCACGTGAATGAATAAATATGTTACATGATTTGAAAAAACATGTTATAGTTTATATTCCACTGTGGATAGCATGGCTTAACAATGGTGTGCTGAATCTGAACGGTATAGTTGGCAAAGTATCCATCAGAAAATAGCAAAACAAATTTGTTTGGTTAGTTTGTGGTGTGGAGCTGGACAAATATTCATCAACCTTTTTGGAACCATATTAGTTGATCTAGTAGAGGGGGGTGGGGAGTCGCAATACCCCCACCACCCCCACCCCTCAGTTGAACCATGGAGGAAGGAATAGACTATTCCTTCCTCCATGGTTGAACCACATTAGTTGATCTAGTAGAGGGGGGTGGGGAGTCGCAATACCCCCACCCCCACCCCTCAGTTGCATGGCCTAAGGGGGACCTGCATTAGTTTGAATTTGCGAATTGTCCTACAAAGACTGACACTTTGCCTTTAGGAGTTCATATTTTGTTTATCATAATCAATCAAAGAAAGTCCAAATGTTTGGAAATGCCAACATAAGGAAAAGTTTTACTGTTTACACAATGTACATAAATCAAACAAAACAATGTTAACTGGGGTTTAGTTACGATTTGAAACTAGCTACAAAGGTTCCTTTTTTCCTTCTAATATTTTCTTCAATTTCGGAAAATTCAACATTATGAACAGAAATAGTCTTGAAATTTACCAAATCAAATCTAAAAAGTTTAAAAGGTAGACTCTGCATGGGTGTGTTCCACTTGAGCAAATTATCCCAACATGCTATATTTTGTGTATTTTAGATCAAATGGGAAATTGTTTTTGAACATTGGCAACGTTTGCCTAAGTGGAACCCACCCCAGCTGGCTTGCCATGCACCTTTGGACGGTAGAGTCACTTGCCCCTGCGACCAGCGCAGGAAACCCACTATTACGACTACTCCGATGAGGCATGTGTGTCCTCCATGCATCTTGGAAAAGCACCGTCAGCTAGTGCATCTCACTCTTTGCTGTAGAAACTTAACAAAAACAACCAAAAAATCAAACTTGTTAATTTGATATACAATACACACCACACTTCAGTGATTTAATACTAAATCACAGGCTAAAAGATAATACACAGCATTTGCTGCTGTTGTAATTTCAGAAATGAATGGAGATGGGGGGGGTGTTAGTGTTTTATAGCAAATATATACCTGTTTAAGATTTTGTGTTCATAGATGCTGGAAAAAAAACCAAAAAAAAGTTGTTCTTGTAGTCTGGTTTCCTGACCCTACTTCAGACGAAATGGAGCAATTACAGACATGCATTGGAACCTGACCAGAGGCTGGCTTGCACCCGCTCACGGATGTGTAACCGATTGCAAAGAAAATGTGGATCAAGCTAAATTTGGTAAACTGGGGGCACCGGGGCAGTAAACAAAAAAAATTCCCAACGATGGTCGGCTGACCGTCGTTGGAAATTGATACAAAAATTCCACTTCTCTTGAAAATGACAGCATACCAGGTTGCCACGATTTCACAGAATGCTTGGGACTATTATTCACTTACAGTCAATCAGTCACTTTACATAGTGTTGCAGTGCCACACCAAAGGGGGCTCGTTTTTTTGGGGGGGGGGTAAAAAAATTTTGGACTATGGTGATATGTATGTGGCCTATTTTCAAGCAGTATGATAGGGGTGTAAATGGCGTCGGCCGACCTGCGTTGGAAAAAACTGGCTTTTTCAAATACTGGCCCCAATTGACCATTGCACTTGTTTGCAATCGATTACACACCTATGAACGGGTACAAGCCAGCTAGACCGGTTCCCTAGCTGACCTTACAATTCCCCAGTGTATGTAAACTGCCCTGTTTCTTCTTATATGGAGTCAGGGAACCAGACTACAGGAAAACGATTGTTTTTCTTGTTTTTTATAGCATTTTCGAACCCAAAACCTTAAAAAAAAGTCAGTGTAACTATATTTGCTATATATTTCCAACCCCCCAATTCCATCCATTTCTGAAAATTACAGCAAAAGCAAATGATGTATATTCCCTTTAACGATTTATGCAAATTAGGCACTCTTCCCAAAAGAATTCAAGGTGTCACCCCTTCTAGATGTCTTCTCTTGGGCTATAAGAAGGTATCTGCAAAGTATGGCGCTTTGGACCAGTCGGTCACGTCTAAGCCACTGACTATTTATAAGTATTGTCATGTGGTCGATAGGCATATGTTTGTTTGAGGTGTTCTTTTTTACACACGATGACACTCGTCATCGACCTGCCCAGAGTACTGATCACACCCCTTGTTATCTGCACATTTTTATGCGCCCGGCCGGCCACGATACCGATATCGCACGCTTTCCGCGAAATGCCAAAGCTTTTAATCATAAATGTGTTACTTGATCCATCCTTAAAAAGCTTTCTCCGAGTTGTCGATTCCCTGAATTGCGATCAGGTTCTTGGCCGCCTTCGTAGGTTACACAATGGAGCTACATAGACGTTCCTTTGCCAACCCGTATATATTCGACGTTGACTGATCGTTACCTTGCAAATTCACTACAGGCACCTATACATGCAGCCTTGGCGATGACATGCTCTTTTTTTTCTCTTCCAAGTGCGACACCAAAGTCTGTAGATGGTTTCCCGGCGAGTTTACTATTTGTCCAAAATCAGCAGCTTTCACTGAATCGCAGAGAATTTATCTGTTGCTGTATAATGACTCTACGGATTTACTTCTTGACCTCCGTTCATGTTGCAACTAGCACCGTCCAATCAATAACCACATGTCATATACGAGGTGTATATAGATGTAAATGTAACTTATTTAAAATATAATAAATACCAATTGATGTGTTCTTTTTGTTTCTCCAATGATGCCTTGATTGTGTGTCTGTGGCCACGAATGATGCGTGGCTTTAACTGGCATTAGGCCCTATCAGACGGAGTGGCGAAGATGTAGGGAGACGAGGCACAACAGACTATCAAAATTCATGTTTTCTTTGCAAACATTATACTTTTGTTCATTTTCAAAGTTAACCTGAAAAAAATCATTATGATTTTGTAAGTTAAAATGCTTAACCGCGCAAGGAGTATCGATGTCGGTATGTTCAGGCCTTCCTCGGGGGGGGGGGGGGGGGGGAAGCCGGCTAGTCTTCGATTGGTGAATGAATATGCTTTGTCAGTTAATTTTAGACATCAGGCGCTGGACCCGACGGTAATGTGCTGCATACATTTTTTTGGCCTAAACATGTACAACCCATGAACGTGAACACCGTATTATCCCCCTTCTACCCTACGGCTCTTTCACGCGTGATCCATACACAGCAAATTCATCGACTCTGTTCTCGGTGCAGAAATTAAAAACGTTAAGATTTCTTTTCTTCTTTTCCATTGAGATTCAAGTATAACTGTCCAACAAAGAATAGCCTTTTTCATTATCGAATCTTGAATAATACCACATGGTTTCAATCTCAAGTTGCCTTGCTTATTAAATTCAAGTGTAGCATTTTGAATAAGCTATTGCTATTTTATGACAGCCGCCCTTAACGTGCAAGCGTCAGTTGTCGACAGATGATGATTCTCGGACTTTAGTTTCCTTAAAAAACAAAGTCTCGAAAGTCTGAAAATGTACTTCATTGGAAAAAGTAGAGTATTCAAATACGAACCTCTTCGAACCGTTTTCGAATTTAAATCTTAACCTATATCAAATTTGAAAACGCAGCCCAAGTTCAGCCCTGATCCAGCCTGTAGACTGAACAAAAATCACAAATTCTCACTCAGACTTGGCTCGGGTGCCGAGTTCTTTTTCAGTGAACGTGGACCATCCATAAAAATGTGCTTGTTTAGTTACCGTAGCAATTTATCATTCGGGCTACAATGTCATCATTACGATGGAAACAGATTTTTGTCAAATCGGAGGCTTCGTCAGGCGGGGGAAATATTGTAGACCAACTCGATACGAGGGGTTTATTTTTCAATTTGGGTTCCTGTCTTGTTTATAAAATGCAAGTTGCCAAATGTCTTCAGAACGTGAATCGTGAAAATAGCCGTCAAGCTGCAATTGAAGACAACTGGTACCCACCAGTAACGGATATTGACTTTGTAATTAAGGACATGACATCGATTGAATTTCATTGCCTAAAGGGCTACTCGAGTAGGCTGCAATTACGCCGAGGTGATGGCATCGTAACCGTGTAACACTCCGCGTTTATTAGAAAGGAGTGAGGACTGCCTGAGCAGGCGAGGATATACGATGTGACAACAAAGCTGGAGCTGTGGCCGTAATGTTGGGTTTATGTGGGTGACTGTTTTATATGTTTCGACACCCCTGTGTTCCGACAACTCAACCTATGTTCCGACACACCTATGTTCCGACTCCCCTATGTTCCGACAACTCAACCTATGTTCCGACGCCCAGTTCCGACAACCCTATAATGTTCCGACAACCTGTACATACGATTGTGTTACTCCCGGTGATGGTTAGGGTTAGGGTTAAGGGTAGCGATAAGAATATGTGCAGTCGGAACATAGGGATGTCGAAACGTAGGTTGAGGAGTCGGAACATATGGCTGTCGGAATTCTTAAATTCGGCAGATTCAAGAAATGCAAAGTTTGCAGCATTTATTGACTTGAGTAATATACATACCCCTCTCAAGCAATGACGAATAGTTTTTATAAAGTAAAGGCCTTTATACATTAGGCATTATTGTGTGAGAAATATAGAAAAATCATGTGAAACTTGTGATGTTTGCAAAACTTAAGAGAGAGCACTACTTAAAGATAATTGACAACAATTGGGGAAAAATCCAAAAAACTGCCAAATTATGAAATATCCTACTTGATTAGGCTATCAGTAAATAATTCGATCAAACATCCCTTGAAATCATTGCGCCTACGATGCTGTCATTTTCAACAAAACAGTAATGAACATGATTTCCTCGAAATGGTTTGTATATCAGAGAAAAACGGCTGTTTTTTTTCTTCAAATACTGCTCCTAATATTGCTGCAAATGATGTCCGTACATTACCTTTTAAAGGGAATGTACAACATTTGCTTTTGCTGCAATTTTCAGAAATAAATGGATTTGGAGGATTAGTATGTTATAGCAAATATTGTTCAACTGACTTGTTTCACGTTTTGGGCTTGTTTATACTGGAAAAACCAAGAAAACCAATCATTTTCTTGTAGTCTGGTTCCCCGACCCCACTTAAGATTAAACGGAGAAACGTAAAGACTTTGGGAAATTGTACGGTCAAAGAATCACTTTAACAGGTTTGTACCCCTTCACAGGTGTTTAATCTATTGCAAAGAAAATGCGGAATAACTAAATATGAAAAAATAGGAACAGTTTTTGAAAAAGCCAGTGTTTTTCAACGCTGGTCGGCCGACCAGCGTTGGAAAAATACAGTTTTTCTTGAAAATGTCAGCACACCAGGAGCCACGATTTTACAGGATGCTTTAGACTGTCAATCCCTAACAATTCAGTAAGGTATTTCGTGATAATTTGATCATTTTGTTTTTTGATGTTTGCAAATGTTGTATCTTCCCTTTAACTCTGCACCAAAGCCAATGACTCAATCAGACCATGGCGCGCGCGGTCGTATATGATTTGAATTTTACATGTTTGAGAAATCATGCAGCCACTGCCATGGTCATTGTGATCCACTGCCATGGTCATTGTGATCGCCTTTTCTTTTTTACACTGAAGAGACACTTTCGCCGAAATGATTTTCAGAGTACAACACTGTAGTCCTCAAAAATTGAGCCGTACGCTGGAACGTTCATCGTCATTCCAGTCACATATTTCTTTTCAAAGCTGTGCTTCAAACGTGTGTGCGTCAGGATTACCATGTGTCAAGGGCGGATCCAGGGGGGGGGGGGGGGCAAACGGGGCCATGCCCCCCCCCCCCCCAAAAAAAACGAAACCAATTGTTTGTTTTTTTTTAATGTGCCATCGCAATAAAGGCAGGCAATGAGTACACCACCATCTTTTCCTCAAAAAAACATTGGTTAATAAAGTGGTCAGAAATTGCCTCAGATCGCACCACAGAGCATCTAGAATCCAAAAAAAAATCGGGGCCCTTACAGTAATATATAAAGAGTGACTCCACCTATCTAGCGGGCACGGCCTGCGGATTTCTTTTCCGTAGGTGGGTTGTTCCAAAGTCATGAATAGTTCAATGGTTTCGATTGGGCCAGTATGTTGAAACAGAACAATGATATCAAGAATGTCGTTGTTATTAAGTCAACCAGTTACCTTTAAAGCATTTTAAAGTACGGACGTCGTCGAGCTACCACATAGCCTCAGTGTGGATAGCGTGATACAAAGATCCCTTCGAATCCACGTCGCTGCTACGCGTTTTCATCGACTATTTTTCTTCTTTGAATTTATCGATGCGATAATTTAATTTCAAAGGAAAACTGAATTATTCATGACATTTGAGCGACCCATCTACGGAAAAAAAATTCGCACACGGCATCCCGCTATAAAATGTGTAAATCTTAAAATCTTAAACGGGACACAATGAACAGTTACATGCTGTAGTATTTTATGTGGTGCCAATCTTGTGGTGACACTTTGGTTCATTATGTACATGTACAGGCTAGGCAAAACGTATCGCTACCGCGTTATCAACAGGGTTTTAAACATTTTCTCCGTACGGTGTAAGACATTACTATAGTGTGGATTCCTTGTTACCAAGACCTTTGAATAGAGTTCGTAAACAATGTTACAAAAAATAGCAATCTCTGGATGAAAACTCAACCTCTCCCCGAGTCCCCGTGATACCACGAAATGCGTCTGCTCAATCGTATGCTTGTGGGGTTCACTATCAACGGCGTAACCGCAAGAGCATTTCTATAAAAGTTCAGTGGCACCGCCTGAAAATATTTTCACGAGAATCAAGCCGATTATAAATTACCGAGGCGCCTCCGGTGCATGCAGAGCGTCTTGTGGATGTAGTGCCCATCACCTCGTATTTTTAAAGGTACTATACAATATAGGTATTGTACAGTTCACCATATAATTTGTGCATTTGTGCTAAAGAAGGGTGCTGAACAACTAACCTGATGAACTTTCAGCTCAGCTTTAGCTCAGTATATTCGAGAAAAACATCATTCTAGGATCTCAATTTCAAATCAAAAGTTGCTGAGTCATGTTTTTGGATTGGGCCTGAATTCAGCGTCCGAGACACGTTTTAAGTCAGTTGCCGTGTCACGCGTAGCTGCTCTATTTTCTCGTACAGACAACACGACAGCAACGCGAGGCCAGCGAACGAAGGCCGTAAAAAGGGCTTCCAAAAATTCGCAATTTTCACGGCAAACCACAACCGATCCAAACAAAGCTGTCTCAGGTAGTTAAAGACCAACTGAATACATCTATCGAGGTATTTTTTTTTCTCAAAATAAGAAGATTTCGATGAATTTTGACGATACTATTTCACGGACAAATCGACTAAAAATTATGTCATGACATTTCCGTTTTTTCCCACAACGACGAAAGTCTCCCAAATGTTAATGTACTCAAAGGAAAGAATGAACCTTCATCTACAAAAAATCTCGTGAACGTGATGTCGTTAATATCTTAAGAATTCGATGTACATAATGTTTCCAACAACTTCCATTTTTCACAACGCGAAAAGATTGTCGCCATTGCATGCATCGTAAAAGCATAGAGCAAGGAACGCAAACATGGTATGACCTTGTGACCCCATACGCGACGCCCGCCCACTTATTGGTCGAGCTTGAGATGGCCTGCTTAATATTCATTCATAGGTCATTC